CAAAACCAAAAAGAAACAACAGTCATTCATAGGTTTCCCTGCCAAACTTCTCTCTCCTATTCCCATGACAAGACCACTAAACATTGAGTTCTAGGGGTCTTCTTTAACAAAGTAATCTATCTGAAGGAAGGAAAATAAGTCCCCTCTAAGTCATGTGAAATGTCATTGCTCTTAACCTTGCTGAATTCAAATGTAAAATTACTGCTCTTGATCTCGTCTAGAAGGGAAAAATGATCCCTCAACCTTTGTGTTACTTTAGAAAGATCCATGCAGTTTAGGCAATTAGAGTTACAGAGGAATTGTCCCTTAAGTTTTTCTGGATGAAGATGAAATTATTTCTGCTTTGCTCACTACACTGAATCTAGATCTAAAGCTAGGAATCCAAGGTGGATGTTGGCATCATATTTTTTTTTTGTTTACTTTATCTCCAAAGAATATTGCATATGTCTTGTAGTTTTGATGTAGATTGGACACAACAGAGTTAGTGAAAACCTGGAAGCTAAGATAAATACCTAAGATAAATACTGCATACTTTTTACGCTTTTCTTTTTGTTTCCCTCATTGTCTTTCCCTCATTATGGCTTCTGTCAAGTATATAAACTATTAGCAACTTGATTTTTAAAAATCACATTTTTAAGCAGCAGGATTTATTTCATGTGGAGCTGAAGTGGTAAGCTTAAAGAATAAACCTCATCTGCATCCTTTTGCTCCAATTGTTATCGTTTGTGATGGAAGGTAAAATGATACAATGGACCTCTAAGCTTCTCTTGTGTTTTGTTTGTTTGTTTGTTTTGTACCAGTCTGAGGACTTGTTCTCAGGACTGGTACCATCTTTTGCCTTTTTTGCTCAAGCCTGTGATCTACCACATGAGCCATAGCTCCACTTCCAGCTTTTTGGTAGTTGATTGAAGATGAGTCTCATAGACTTTTTTGCTTGGGCTGGCTTTGAACAGCAATCCTCACACCTCAGCCTCTAAGTAGCTAGGTTTATAGACATGAGCCACTAGTACCCAGCTTGAGCTTTTCTCTCTCTCTCTTTCTCTCTCTCTTTCTCTCTCTCTCTCTCCCCCTCTCCCTCTCCCTCTCCCTCTCCCTCTCCCTTCCCTCTCTCTGCAGTTGTGGTGCTTGAAGATGAGGGTCTTGGCACTGTCCCTGAGCTCTTTTGCTCAAGGCTAGGACTCTACCACTTGAGCCACAGCACCACTCCAGTTTTCTGCTGGTTAATTGGAGTAAGAGTCTCAAGGGCTTTCCTGCTGGGCAGGCTTTGAATCACAATCCTCAGATCTCAGCCTTCTGTGCAGTTAGGATTACAGGGTTGAGCCATCGGCTGAGCTGCTCCTTTTAAATAGCCGCCAACTTTTCAAATCCGATAAGGATGCAAACCTGATATTCAGCCAGTTTGAAAACTCAATGAGAACAGGCCAAGATTTAGAAAACTGAGATTTATTTTATTTTATTATTTTTTTTTTTTTTTGCCAGTCATGGGGCCTGAACTCTGGGCCTGGGCACTGTCCCTCAGCTCTTCAGTTCAAGGCTAGCGCTCTACCACTGGAGCCACAGCACCACTTCCAGCCTTTTCTGCTTATGTGGTGCTGAGGAATCAAACCCAGGGCCTCATGCATGCAAGGCAAGCACTCTACCACTGAGCCACCTTCCCAGCCCCAACTGAGATTTATTATGAGCCTGAACAAGGCCTCAACCTGGTTCACCCTTCCGTGGAGAGGTACTAAGGACCCAGATTCTATGCTGTCTAAGATGGTTAGGCTAAAATGTAGAAGTCTGGTTGTGATAGCTATACACAGTTCAAGTAGTAGTGCAGATTAAACCCTTAAAAAATACCCACACTTCGGTGGGAATCATTGTGTTCATTCATTTGGGATGTAGTGGGAACCTGTCCTCATTAAAGTTCTGCTTCAAGCAGTGAGAAAAAGACTTGGGCTGATCCAGGCTCTAAGGAAATTCATAATTACTAGGGGCAATAAGACACCATGGCTCTAATTAGAAAGCAGGGGGATGCGAGCATTTGTACAGAAGAAGTGCAGATGAAAAGCTAAGGAGCGGGAAAGGAAAATTAATTTAATCAAGAGATTTGTAAAGTCTGATGATAGAGTTTTTTATAATATCAATATCTTTCAAAGAACATGTTTCTGGCCTAACATTTCAGTAAATGCAGTTTGCATTTGATTGGGTTCATGTTATATGCTCACTCAGAGAAGCATGCCAACTCACATAACTTCATGGGGACAATTTCCAAGAGAAGAATCAAGGGAGTCCATGCAACTGTGTACTTCTCTGGGCAATGTATCCCAATGGCAGCAAAACCACAACGTTTAATGTGGACAGCAAGGAGATGAAGAAGCAAAATAATGGCCTCCATCCCAAGGAAGCCAATCTTTTTCTATTGTCATTGTCTTCCACGTGAACACAGAGTATATTCTTGTTGGTCCAGAGATGTGAATTCTGGGCCTCATATACTTGGCAGGTAAATGCTTTATTACTTGAATGATGCCGTCAGCTCTTTTTTGCTTTAGTTACTTTTTGGATAGGTTCGTTCATTTTTGTCCAAGCTGTACAGCTTCATGCCATCTCCCCCCCAGATATCGATTGAGATGAAGGTCTCATGAACTTTTTTTGGGGGGTGGGGTGGGTAGGGGTGATCCCTTGTAATATCATCTTCCCGATCTCTGTCTCCTAAGTGATTCGCGTGCAAGTGTGAATCACCATGACCAGATAAGTTACCTTATTTTCACATGTTTTATTACAGATAGGTATCTGATGAGGTTATTTAATAAAGCAGATGAAGGTGCACAACAGATTGTCGAATTATCTCAATGCAAAAATGAGCCAATGATTGTAACAGAAAAATTCCAAGGGAAGAAATAATGATGTACATTCACTGTCCCTCCTCCCATTTTCATCTTCTAAGTCTCAAAGTAATCAAAATTATACAAATATGCAATCACAAAAACCCCTTTACACTATTTTACTACTATCATTATATGGAAAAATTATATCTGTCAAAAGTGATGTTTTATTGAAAGACATCTGTAAAACTTCCTAGTAAGATGATAATTTTATGTAAGCATTCTGTAAGAAATTTAATAATACAGCCGGGCGCTGGTGGCTCACGCCTGTAATCCTGGCTACTCAGGAGGCTGAGATCTGAGGATCGCGGTTCAAAGCCAGCTCGGGCAGGAGAGACCGTGAGACTCCTATCTCCAATAAACCACCAGAAAACCGGAAGTGGCGCTGTAGCTCAAGTGGTAGAGCGCTTGCCTTGAGCTGAAGAGCTGAGGGACAGCGCCCAGGTCCAGAGTTCAAGCCCCACGACCGACAAAAAAAAAAAAAAGAAATTTAATAATACTACATCAAGGACCGCACACAATCACCATTAGACAGGATTCCTTCCTTCCTTCCTTCCTTCCTTCCTTCCTTCCTTCCTTCCTTCCTTCCTTTGTTCCTTTTCTCCACCTCTCTCTCCTTCCCCCCCCCCCCCATCTCTTATAAAATCCTTGGGAAAAACAACTTAAGAAAAATTTATTTGGGTTCATGGTTTCTGTTCTTCATGGGGGAAGATATGACAGATATGACTCTGCTCACACCAGAGTGGCCAGGAAAGAGAGGAGATCCTGGGAATACCTGCTCCAGGTTTTCTCTTATCCCACCTTTTATACTATCATGAGTCCTTCAGCCAATTGGATGGTGCTGTTCACCTTCAGGGCAGGTCTTCCCGCTGTGGTAATCCTTTCTGGAAATACCCTCAACAAACAGGACATTGCCACTGGACTCCTCTAGGCTTTTCTCAATCCAATCAAGTGGACGGTCAAGCTTAAACATCACAGCGATTAATTCCCTTGATTTTAATTTTTAAACAAAGATTGAAGGTACCAAACAGGTATTTATACTGGCAAAAGAATTGAAACCATCTTTAGTGAGAAATAAAACTAATTGTAAATGCAATGTATCAGCAGCCACCAGTGACCTTGTGTTCCTGTCAAAAACGTTTACTTAGATGATTCAGTGACATACTCGAGACAATAGGGAACAAAAGGAAATATATAACCCCAATTTATATGTATATGCATACAGAGAAATACACACCTGTACTAATGTGTGTATAGCATATATATGTATTTGTGTGTATATGTATATATATATTATATATACATGAAAATATACACACACAAAAATTATTGATGAAAGGACTTTCTGGTACAATCTTCAGACTGATTAATCTTCATTTCTTTCTCGGATGGCTTTTTTTTTTATAGCTGAGTATTCATTAGGTAAGTTATAGCTTATGATGATAACACTTGGTATTCTTTGAGCAACTCTTTTGTGTCATTACTCTACGAAGACAGCTCATTCCACTGAGAAGTGCCCTATTCTGTGTCTGGATTGTAATTTGGATTTGTTAAGTTGACAAAGTGAAAGTTTAAGAGTTGGGAATCTGGGCTGGGAAGGTGGCTCAGTGGTAGAGCGCTTGCCTTGCATGCCTGAGACCCTGGGTTCGATCAAAAAAAAAAAAAAAGAGTTGGGAATCTGATCCACCTCGCAACTCTGCTGCATACAATTATGTTTACTAGATTCTTTTTTTTTGTCGGTCATGGGGCTTGAACTCTGGGCCTGGGTGCTGTCCCTGAGCTCTTCAGCTCAAGGTGAGCACTCTACCAATTGAGCCACAGCACCACTTCTGGTTTTCAGAGTGGTTTATTAGAGATAAGAGTCTCAAGGTCTTTCCTGCCCAAGCTGACTTTGAACCACGATCTTCAGATCTCAACCTCCTGAGTAACTAGGATTATAGGCGTGAGCCATCAGCATCCAGCTATTTACTAGATTCTTAAGTGTAATGTCCTATATTCCACCCACCTCAGCAGATTTATCACTGAATTTGAACCAAGTATCAGCTAGCTTATACTGGATGAGCAGGCTTGACTTTTTCCTTCTACAAACCGTGTTAGAGATTTTTATATTAAAAAAAAAAATGTCTCTGATTTCAGCTGTATGATGGACCAAATCGGATCGGGCGCTACTGTGGAACACAGAACCCCCCAGCAGGGAGCACCACAACCTCCCGCCTTCACGTGCTCTTCCATACTGATAGGTACAATCACCAAGAGAAGGGCTTTCAGATGCAGTGGTTTGTTCATGGTAAGTCTTGTGCTGATGCCAGTTGTATCGGCATTGCGTTTTGATCAAGAATTGCTCCATTCTCAATTTTCTCCTGGGGAACAAAACCATCCATGATATCAGGCAACCAAGGTAGTAATCTTAGAGTGAAATTTTTGCAGAATTTGGAGCGTTAAGACTGTCGTGTTCAGAGCAGTGAAAAGTGAAACAATGAAACAAGTAACTATTAGAGTCAGTGATAAATCTATGTAGGGAAGAAAGAAGGGAAGGGGCAGTTTCTAGGATGAATAGCTACATGCTGGTCAATGATACTGCACAGAGCTACAGAACTCAGTGCAAATGAGCTGTGATAATTATGGTCAGGGAATTTCTGGATCTTTTTAGAGTGAGTAGGTTCAGCCATAGCATGGTCAATTTATTGATCTAATACATGTGAAGATTGAATTGATTCATCTCTACCATATATAGCCCATTTCTACCACTCTGTGATTCAAAAGCATCATGATTGTAGTAAGTAAACCAGAGACATTCTGAAATGACATAAAAGGGACAAGAAAATCCTGCAGTAGGACTCAGATTTTCAGTGATGTGGCATATTCTTCAGGGTGGTGTTTTACAGTTGGTTATATGCACAGAATCACTAACAATCTGGTGTGTGTGTTTTGAGCTATTTCTCCAGCCATTACTAAGGATGTTGTAAAAAGGAGTATTTGTCTGGTGGGATGGGGTAAGATCTATCATCTTTCATTTCTAAGAAATTCCCAGATGATGTTGATGGTGCTTTTTTATGGAGTTCATTCCACGCAAGTTCATTCCAGGCAAGAATGGGTATTGAGCCTGAGAAATAAGCCCATAGAAAGATAGCATTGTTAGGTACTAAAGAATCCTTTGGGGCTTCTCAAGGGGCCAGCATCCTCATGGAAGTAAGATGGTTGTTGTGTTCTCTGCAGGAGATAACTCTACAAATACCCAAAGGGGCCACCATCCCTTCTAACTCCCCCTTCCTTCCCCCAGGACAGAAGGGATGTTAAGAAGTGCTAACCAGAGACTTGGAATCAAAGTCTCAGGAGGTGATCCTGACTCTAGGTGCTCATTGGAATTTCCTGGGGGGTTATTTTTGTTTAGTTTCCTACCATTAGAGATGGGATTCAGTTGGTCAGTGACCTACTGCTGCAGTAGGAAGACTACTGTTGCAGTCCTGTAAGAATAGGTTTCAGGACCAGTGCTTTTACTGGTTGTGTGTTTCTATTCAAAGGACTACTGTTCCTTCACTGCAGGCTATTCTTGGCACCCTCGCCCAAGACTCCCCTAAGAAGCTGAGTTGAGTAGTCTTCACTGGCTGTGCCCAGATTATTGTATCACTGCGTTCTTCCAGCTACCATGCTGAATCCTGTGCTGAAAGGTCTGAGTTGTTGTTTGGAAGAGAGAGTTGATTTTTTTTTCTTTAAGACTACTTCTATTTGGAATTTGTCTTCTAGGGGAGAGTGAAAGACATTCTCTGTCTTTTCTCTTTTCCTGTTTATTATTTCAAAACTTTCCCTCAGTTGCTGACAACTTGCTAAATTTAGAGCCTGAGTTATGCAATAACATTTTGCAAGTTGGGATCAAAACTGGGGGGATTTTTTTTTTTAACTCTGTTCTTCCCACTGCGTATAAATTTTACTTGAGAATAGTCCTCTAGAAGGCAGTTGTCAGTAGTGTACATGAGCACAAACAGTAACTGTGATATACTATAGTCTTGCTGGGCCACAAGCATGGTTTACCCTCTGTATCTAAACTAGTGTGTTTGATTGAGAGCCTAAGAGGTCACTAGAGAAGGTAGCATCTGAGAGAAGATCTTCAGCAGGAATAGTGGCCCCGTTGTTTTCCCACTGGGCATAAGGTAAAGAGACAGATTGTGAGCTTTCAATTAGCCATTTATTAATCATATAGACATTGAAGAATTCTCTGTTTAGCTAGAAACTGTGCTGGAGACATGGTGACTCGTGTCTTCCGATGGCATGTTTCTCCTCACCCAGAGCTCACAGATTACTGAGAGGAGTAGGTAGGTAGCAAGGAAGTAAGGACAGAAATAATTAGAAATATGGTAAGTGCCAGGGAAGGGACCCAAAAGAATGTGATAAGGGAGCTGGGCAGGCAGTCAGGTTGTCTTCCAAGAGAATGAAACTATTGAACTAAAGCCCAAAACACTAGACCCCTATGATGTGTGGAAGTTGGAAGACCATGAAAGACCCAACAAGTCTAGAGAAATCCATTCAAAGGGGGCAGCCATTGAGCAGATGAGAGAGCTGAGCAATGGCCACCACATACATAGGTCACCGAAAGCAGGGACTCAGGCAGTAACCTGAGCCACATCCTTTTCCCCCCATGCAAATCCTGCAGGCTGCCTCAAAGGAGGTTTTGAGTTGGATGAGAGCAACATAGTAAATTGAGGAACTCAAAGCACAGAATAAAAGGTGAATATTAAAATCAGAGCAACATGTCACTTCGTGACAGGACTATGTTCTGAAAAAAATGCATTGTTAGCCCATTTCATCATTGAGTGACCGTCATAGTGTATCTTTCAAACTAATCAAGACTGATGGGCTGTATCACTAGGCCACACAATCAATGGGATCAATGTGGCAGGATCTTTTGTTCTTGACTGAAATGTCATTGTGCAGCACATGTCTATACTGTCAATTGACAACTATAGTTGTGATATTGCTGAATGTGTTTAGTTGTGTTTGTGTGTGTGTGTGTGTGTGTATGTATAAATGCATATAATGCACTATCGGAAAGTAAAACGTTCATCTTTCAGTGCCCTACTTGGTGTCTGCTCAGAATCAAGGGAGGGCTCTAGTCTTCTAGCTTGAGCTTCCTCAGAGCTGCTGGCTAGATCAAAACCTCTTCTTTCTTTCTTTCTTTCTTTCTTTCTTTCTTTCTTTCTTTCTTTCTTTCTTTCTTTCTTTCTTTCTTTCTTTCCCTCCCTCCCTCCCTCCCTCCCTCCCTCTCTCTTTCTCTCCCTCTTTCTCTCTCTCTCTTTCTTTCTTTCTTTCTTTCTTTCTTTCTTTCTTTCTTTCTTTCTTTCTTTCTTTCTTTCTTTCTTTCTTTCTTTCTCTTTCTGTCTCCCTCCCTCCCTCCCTCCCTCCTCCCTTCCTTCTTTCCTTCCTTCCTTCCTTCTAAAAAACAGATCTCATTTGCAGCCCTCTCTCCTCCTACTCTTTCCCAAACTATGCAATAAGAATGTGGAGAAGCTCCTTGCAGCGTGCTCACAGCCTGCAAGTGACATCATTTCCCGAGGGCTGCCCTGTGAGGAAGACTCTGCCATTCATTTTGCTAAGGAATAAATAAATCTGTGGACCGAATGCATGTCTTTGTCAGCTGCACAAGCCTTCTATTTACTTTGAGAAAACGGATCTACAAATGGGCTTCCTCTGTGGGCCCATTTTGAGAGTGGCTCTATCCATGGGAGATGAAGCCACATTGCAGAGGCCTCAAAGAAAGGTCCCACCCTGGACAGAAAGAAATAGCCACAGTTGCTCTGCCTCCCTAATCATTTCACCGTATTCACCACTGACAGCATTGTCCAGAGGCTGAATTCAGCCTTGGGGGCCCCCATTGGAGGTGCTGATGGCAAGTTGTGTGAATAGCTGCCTTGCAGCCAGCTGTGCACAGCACACCCCTCCCCTTTTCTGCCCGGCTCCCCAAGGGGTGCCTCCTTTCACTTGGCAATGGAATCCAGCCGGCAAACAAGGCCAAGGAGCTTTGTGAAGGCCGGGAAGACTGACATTTGCAAAAGAAGCACACACTTCAGCTGGGAGCAAGCAGAGGAAGCTAGCAGTGGCATGTGACCAGGAGATGATGTCACTCTCGATTTCCACAAAGGCAAGGGTGGCCTCTTCTTTGGGATTATAGATGACATCAGCCTCTCTAGTGGGGGGCTGTTTTGTTTAATCTTCTTTTCAGCCATTAAGGAGATTTCTCAAGCTTTGAGAGTGTTTAGAAATTAGGTTAAGGAGAATATTTTAAAAGCCATAGCGAGAATCTCCATAAAATTACTGCTTGAAAGGAGCCCAGAACCTCTGGCTATATGTCCACTGCAAAAGCTTTCTATAAATGTACTTCAACATGCTGCCAAGAACCATCTCAGTGAGATCACCCACACCTCTCTCTAATCTTCCTTCTTTCCTTCTCTCTCTCTCTCTTGTTCTTTCTCTCTCTGTCTCTGTCTCTCTTTATCCCAGGGATGCCAGTAGCTTTTGTGTATTGTTGGTCTTCCAGGAAGAATTCCTTGTAATTTTTCATGTTCATTTCTTTCTGTGACTCAGTGATATGAGCTGGGGTTTCCCAGAGAGAGATTCCTCCTCGGAGCACATGGGTTTTAGCTGTTGTAATTCCATTATCCATTTGTCCTCCATCCACACTGCTAACAGATCAGCTCCAGAATCAGATCAGTCAGCCAGGCTCTCTGTGAGGTCTGCTGGGCCTTCCCACTAAAGAACAGACAGCTGCTACTGTGAATGACATACAGTGATCACTGTGAGTCACTTAGGAACACCAAAAGGCCTCCAGGAGCAGGTGTTTTGTTATCTATTCAGCCAGCAATCAGTATGTATCTACTCCCTTACCAGGCTTGGTGCTTGGAATCCATAGTTGCTTCTCCAACTGTTATAACAAAGTACCACATACTAGATGGGTTAAATAGTAGAAATGTATTCTTAGCAAGGTTTGGAGGTTGAAAATCCAAAATCTAGGTGTCAGCAAGACTGGTAACTCCTGTGTGACCTCTCTCCTTAGCTTCAGAGTAGCCTGCACCTAGCCTTTCTTTTGTGAATACACGCTGATGTCTCTTTATTTGTCCAGATTAATTCTTATAAAGTGGGCAGACAGATCAGATTAACATTTATATAGCTTCCTTTGAACTTAATTCCCTTTTTGGAAGGTCTGTCTTCCAGTACGGTCACTTTCTGACTTTTGGGAATTAGGACTTTAGCATGGAAACTTTAGCAGGCTCAAAACATAGGAAGAGACAGCATCTG